ACATGATTACTACACTCCATTCCTTAGGGCCTGTGAAGCAGCAAGCCTTAGAGGATGTTATTCCCCTAGTTTCATCCTGCAAAGCAGTGTCACAGACAAAGATTTAACCTTTCCACATTGGCACCCAACCCCCCTTCCCCAAGAAAAAATAAAATGCTCTAATTGTCTTTATTACTTTCAGACACTGGCCACCAAACACAGATGTTCACCACTGAGAATTAAAGGAAGGGTAAAAGGTCACAGGGACCCAGATCAGTTTGATCCTTCTTTGGATTATTGGGCCCCATTGTCTTGAATGGTTCTTATCTTTGAAGAAGAAAAGAATATTTAGATTGAACATAAAAGTGGGTGAATAGCACTCAGTGGGCTTATTTTGTTGGTAGGGCTCATGCCAGTGGTCCCCTCTCCTGCCTTCCTAAAAACAGCACAAGGAAGTGTGTGAAACAGCCTATAAAAAATAATAAGCTTTGCTTCTGCCTCAAATATTGATAGTTTCCTATCTTTAGGAATCCTTAGCAAAAAGAATTCTATCTTGAAAACAAGAGCCTTGAAACCTAAGAAACGGAAAAACAAAAAACAGACAAAAACAAAACAAAATCTTTCCTTCTCTTTAGCACATGGGACTTTCATGGCAAAGAAAATTAACAACGATAAACACTACTTTGTTGTGGCTGGTTTTTGTTTAGTTCCAATTCAGGCAATTCCCATATTGCGATATTGTGTGTGTGTGTGTGAGAGTAAATAGCCCTAGCTACAATCCCCCAAAAAGATCTCTCACCTAGTCACTTGCCAAATCACTTAACAGGGAGGATAATATTTACACAAAATTTACCCTGGTCCAAGACTGATGCTTTTATCTCAAAAGTTAGCCTTGGCATTTTCTGCATGTGGTTTTTGTGTCGTCGTTGGTTTGATGATGCTTCTTTTCTTTGCATCAGCTTGGATTTTCCCAGCCATTTTGTACAACACCTACCTGACCCTTTCCAAACCTAGACCAAGTGACCAACAGTTTAGAAGTAAAATCCAACGCTGTATAGAAACCACTTAAAATCCTATTTCCGCAGAAGCTCAGATTACGGGTCGCACTCTTTTTGCCCACAGTAACTGCCACCAGCTCTTCCACACAAGGGGTCTCTAAATGAGCATCCGGACGTGGATTCCCAACATTCAGGACCCTGAGGACCGCGTGGTGAGTGCTAGGATTCTTAGGCTCGACTCCATCCTACACACCAGTCTATGCAGTAAACTTGTCAGTCGGCTTTGGGGAGTTTCCACCCGCAGACTTGCATGACTTGCACGCTCAGTCCTCGTGGCAGAGACACACCCCTTCTCACGTCTCTGTACCCCACCGCTCGTGTGCCAGCTTCTTCTCTCCAGCCATTTGATACAGGTCGGGACATTTGGCCGTGGCAGTGGACAAACTCTGACACCCTCCCGGTAGACAAATTCTACGCATGTACGCGAAGGCCAGGCCCTCCTCCAAGTTAAGCAAATGGCTGGGTGAGCAAGCGTTGGCTAATGACATCTGACAGCCACATCCTTGAAACGTTGGCTAATATCTCCGCGAACAGGCACGTCCGGGCGTTAACTGGTCGAGTTACAGATGACTGCCAGAGCTGCCCTCCGTGCAGCCTGGGCAAGTCACGCTTTGTTAAGTCCATTGGCCATTATGCTGATTTTAAAAAATTTAAAGAGCATTTTTATGCAGAGGCCTCTCTCGGCAGCAGGTGTGACCCCTATCTGGGCCTTGAACGCCTCGCTCCTGAGTCAGCTCCGGAAGGCTGCAGCCCTTCGGAGGGAAGAGGAAAAGCGAAGCGCAGGGTGGGCAGGAACCAAAAGGGTAGGAACAAGTGGGCGAAAAGTCACTGCCTGACCTTGCTACCTTGTGACCAGCGCGGAACGACAAAATTACTCCCTCAATCTGAGCATAAGCAGTGTACGGGGAAAAAAAAAAAAAAAAAAGGATTCCCACGACCCAACCCCATCCAGACCCAACGCCTTGATGCCGAGGCGCGCGCCAAAACCTCTAGGCTAGCAAGCCCCGGGACCCTGGGCAGGCGTGGCGGCTGGGGTTACGCCTGGGGCCGCCACGGCGCGTGCGTACGTGCTCGTGCGTGGGCGTCCGCGCGTGCGCGCTTGTTGACACCCGGCAACCCGGAGAGCGTGCCTAGACGCGGGCAGCCGGCGCCGCTTGCGTCGGCTCGACGCAGGCTGCGGCTGCGGCTGCGCACGCGCGGTACGTTCGCCCGCGGACGCTGTGCCCCGGGCGTGAGTATCCCCGCACTCACACCCGGTCTCCAAATTGGTGTTGGCGGTTGAGTCCTGGAGACCTGGGGGAAAGGCGGTGGGATCGCGCAACACGTGACCTGGGGGAGGGTCAGAGGGGAACCCACGCCAGGAACGTGGGCCCGGGGAGACGTTTGACTGACCTCCTCCGATGGAAGTCCGCGGGGTTATTTACGAGGTCTGATTTAAAAGTAGTGGCTGCCAAGGAAGTGAAAAAGGAGCTCACCCCAAGCTATGAGCAGGAGCTGCAGTCGCAAGAATGCGGTTTATGACGATATAAATCACCGTGGAGCTTGTGATGGGAAAATAGGGAGACTGCGAGTTTGGGATAGAAACCAGGAAACAAAGTCAAGAAGGAAAAATGAGTTTTCGCCTTCCCTTGTTTGCACCACCCCCTCCTTCCCCTGGGAGGCCACGGGAGGCTGCAGGGAGGATGGCGCTGCAGGGAGGATGTCGCTGCCGGGGTTGCCCCAGTCTTCCCCAAGTTTACACGAGGATCGTTAGAGAGCCGGGGAATACATGTAAATAAACAACTTGGAAGATTTATGGGAAGAAGTTCAATTTTATAGGACTGTATTTATAGAGCCAGCGCTGGCTTACTTATAAATAGATTAATGGGAGGCTGGAATTAATGAACTTACGAGCTGCACGTTTGATTTCTGAAGCTTCAACATGACACACAACCGCCCTCGAAGGCCGAGCGTGGAAGGCAGATTGCTCCGGGGAGCCGTGAGCACCGTCAAAAAGGGACACGTCCCACGGGGCCAGCTGCTCTGGTGGCTCCGAGCGCTGGCGCCCGGGGTCTTCCGGGAGGAACCCTCACTGAACTGTTATTTGCAATTTTTTTTAATGTGGCTTCATTTTTAAAAAATGAAATAATCGGATCTTCCTGCTAGCACTATTTTTAATCAAGCCCTTAACCCGCTAACATGGGCCGGCGGGTGGGTTCGGTACCATAAACCGCGCACCCCGGCTGGCTGGCAGGCAGGGGCAACGGCGACAGCTCCTCCGGGGTCATCTAGGGTCCCTCTAGCTACTGCTTTTATTCCCTTCACAGCCTCATAAGACAATAACAAAGGGGCTGGGGAGCTGTGAAACGCTACCCGGGGCTGTTTTCTTAGACAAGGCTGCATCCAGCTTCCAACCCTCCTTTTCCCCCTTTCCGGTTTTTCTTCCTGGTTATTTCCTCCAGTTCTTTGCAGGCTTCTCAAAACCTTGGGCTTTACCTGGTAAAGGTGATTGTCTCAGACCCTTTCCTTGCCAAGTGGTGGTGGTGGGGTAGGGTAGTCTGGCGCTTACCTGTTGGATAATAGGTTGCAGGACAGTTTATCCTGTGCTGGTGCTAAGCTTCTGTAGGAAAAAGTGCCGTAGGCTATGGAAATTTAACCACCACCCCCTTTGTATAATCCCAGTAGTAACCAATTCCACACTGTCTGCAAAGCTAATGAAAAGGACACTCAATGGAACAAACCAGAGACTACGACATATATCTGTTTTCTTTCTAGATTAATGGATTGCATGCCTTCATAATCACACTTTTTTGGTGTTCTTTGCTTCTTTCAAATTTTTTTTTTATTCCATTGTTTGCATTTCTAGCCCTAATACTCCCTCCTTTCTTTTAATAAGTAAATCAGGAAGAGGACAATCTCACATAAAGCAGATTCCATTGTTCCTTTTGCCTTTCCCTATAGGGAAGTCCAACTGAAAAATATTCATTTTAAAACAAAACTGGTGTGGGAGGCATATTATTACCAACTATATGCTAAACCTGCTCATAATCTGGGATCATCAAGAATTAACATTTCCAATTCCCCTTAAATGTGTATGCATGTTTCTGTTTCTGCTTTTTTAATACTTAAACTAGGCAATTTTGATGTAGAAAAGGACCTGAGGAGGTTTATATTTTGCTGATAAGACTTCGGGCCCCAAAAGAAGCAGAGACTCATCCAAACCATATAACATCTTGGGTGATTTTGCTTTCCTGGCCTCAAGGAAGATACCCAAGCCTTGGGATAAAATACAGCTTGAGATGATGTTTGATCACTGCAGCCCATTAACCCAAGTGAGAAAAACTGTAACTCTTCTAGACAGTCTCTGAGCCAAAAGTAAGAGCCGGCATCCTAATAGATCTACACTTTTTCCTCTTCTTGGTTAAAAGAGGTTTTTTCCCTTGTTTGTTTATGCCTTGTGCTGCTAATAATGTCAGGGTCGAGTTTAATTCTGAATGGGTGTAAACACCTTCAGATCCCAAGTCATGGGGACAGCAGGCCACACCCAGCCCTGCAGAGTTCCCTCCTGTACCTTCTTCATAGATCTTCTCGCCAAAACTAGCAAGTGGGAGGAAAGTGTCATCTTTTACATGGACCCAGAGTCTAGTTATTTGGGATTTAACTTTGACTCTTCAGTTTTTAAAGGGCAAAATAAACCAAAAGATGCAGTTAACATGAACTTTTATTGCAAATCTGGTTAGAAATAGGAGAGAAGCGTGTCAATTTTGAATTTAAAAAAATTTAAAACACCTACCAGTGAAAACAAGTGTTCATTTTTCTGAGAAGCAAAATTTATTGTATTTCTGTTGTAATGAAAACACCTTGGGTGTTTCAGTGAGGGGGAACAAAACGAAAAAAGCAAAAAGCTTCTTGCTATACTTTTTTTTTCTGTCTGTAGATTTAAACAATATCTACATTTTAAAAACTGAAGATGAAAACACAACAAAAACACAACAATCTTTTTATTTATGTAAATCAGATTAACACTGGACAATAAACCAATTTCTACCCATTACCATAACAGCTTGTTTATAAAGAACAGAAAAATTCAGATAGGATTCTACCTAGGGTCAAGCGGTTTTTTTAACCACCCATTCACAGAGGTATAGATTCACAGATAAATAATCCCAAACTACTTGCTCGCCGTATTTACACATTCCCATTAAATTAAGCATAAATAAATATATACAAACTTAACATGAATACCCTCCAGAGCTCTTCTCCTGAAGAGTCAATAGATTGATATTTCTCGATTGTGTGGCAAAAATAATGTTGGAGAATTAGAGACTAACTCAAAAGAGGAGTCGATTTTGGCATTTAAGGAAGGATAGTGTTCATTCCATTTTTAAAAAGAAAACGAATTCAATATTTCTTTTTACGCCAGTAATTTCACATACATTGGCAAAGGAGGGGAAATGCTATTTGGGCTCTTGAGGCAACATCAGATGGTTTAAGGTTATTATTTCCTTTTCACATAATGTATTACAAGTACAGGATATCAGATGTGATGACAAATTCTCTATAAACACTCTAACTAGGAATGCATTGTACCAGAGGAACAGTGTGTAGATAGGTTCGGGGTTTCAGGTTTTCCATTCGACCAAAGTTTTCATAGGATATGAAATAATTGCTTGAGAGAGAGTGGTTTCCTTGGCCAAAGAAAACAAAACAGCCAGGTTTTTAAAAGCCTCTTGGTTCTTTATGTGGGGATGGCGAAAGCTAGGGTGTGGAGGCCAGAAAGAAGATGCTTAATTGGGGGTGAGGGAGGAGGGGACAAAGTTACCTTCCCAGTCTGGGAGTGAAGTTAAAGATCTTTGAGATGATCCTCACCCAGAACATGTCTTGCTTCTCTTGAAACCCATAGTACCTGAAGGAGGTGGCAGGGTTGGGCGGAGAATGGTCTGGAGATCTTTAGAACCTTTCAAGGAACTTGGAAAGTGGAAAGTGTGAAGGCAGCACTGCCACATCCTGACTCCTTCCTGTCCCTACCTGTTTTGGTTTGGGACTGAGCATTTAGGAGTGGGCACGCGGCGGCATGGATGAAATGTCTAAAGAGTGGAGGGGGGAGGGGATTGCAACTCACCTGTTTGGTTTGAAAACAAAGCTCAAAGGGGCATGTCTTAAACGTTTCCTTGACTTAAAAGGCAAACTCTTGCGTTAATCCTACTGTTTATTGATTTATAGGCCCAAGGAAACCAAATCTTTTAATAACTTAATTATCAGATAAACGTAGCGGGCCTGGCTAACGAAAGCAAGGGGGCGGGGGTCCTACATGAAAGGAGAAGTAAGGGAGGCAGAGGTGGCGGTGGGCTCTCTCCACGCAGCGAGGGGAGCGGGGGAGGCGCGCAAAAGGGTTTGTTCAGATGGAGCCTGAAGGAGCGCGCCAATAAGCGCGCAGGGCAACCAAGGGAGCCTGCGTGGCCAAGTGAGACAGCTCCCATCCCATCTCCCCCTTTAGGAGCATGAGGGCGGGGCATATTTCCGTCCTGAGGGAGGAAGGGATAAGCTTCCGATTCCTGGGACATTTCTAGGCCACTTTCCCTTCGGGAGCAGAAGCCCGGGGTGGCCGCTGGCAGAGCCGGGCGCCCTCCCCGCCTGCAGCCCGCGGGGCACCGCCCCTTTACCTACTGGAGAAGGGGGCTTTCTCGGTCGCCTTAGCCCTTAGGGTGAGACCGAGAGCGGGAAGGGGCCCCCGCGGCCGGCGGCCCCTCCAGCGGCTGATTCTATGTCCTCAACACGACTGGGCGCGTGTGGCCCACACGCTCTCAGGACCTGCACAGTAAGAGCAAGGCGCGTCCATCGCGTCCCTCGCACGTCACACGCGTGGGGCGCGTTGCCCTGCAAGGAAAGGAGACGATGGTGTTCAGTGTGGTCTCTCCCGGCCTCGTGCAATCAGAACACATCTAATGCAAGCGGCCAGACCCTCGGACAAAGGCACGAGTCTCTCAGCTGGGGAGAGTGTCTACACTCTCCATAACGTCTAGCTCCCGCCCTTTGCACTTCTCTAAACACGTCTAGGGCTGGGCCTGGAAGACCCAGAGGTCCCAGAAGGAATTGGGATTAGGAGATGGGCTTCGGGGTGATCTTTAATCGGCGCTTGGGCCCTTTCGGTGACCTGAGACCTCTCTAACGTCCTCTCTTCCCCCAGTAAAAACAGGCAAAGCACTCAGCAGGTTCCTAACACTACAACCACCCCCCTCGCCCCAAGGCCAGAGGGAAGGGGTGCAAAACTGTTTGGAGTGGGACCAGAACATCTGAATCTTTATTTTCAAAGGATGTTGCAAGGTCCTGTCTACTTTGTTAAATAGGCGCGTGTGTCTACACTAAATTTATAGAACTATTTCACCCACCTCCCCTTATCCATGGATATTTCTCACTGCTTTTGGGAAGGTGCAGACAATGAGTTCCAGATCCTATTTCATGATAATGCTAAGATGGAGCCCGAAAAAGGAGCTGGGCTGCCAGAAGTGAGAAATATGAAATGCATGAAACTTTGTCCACTAGGAATAGTCCCAGTGTATCCAGAAGGTAAAACTCAAAGCTGAAATACATTTCTTTTCATTTTGCATTATTTTACCATCATATGCCAAAACAAGTGCAGGTCTGGGAGGGAAAAATGCTTCATTCATATCGTATCTTGTAAGAAAGCAACTGTTGCAGAAACAAGGAAGCTTGCGACCTCCTCCTATGCAAAGCTGCATTCCCCCGTTTACAACAGCAATCGCCAAAGAACCCAGGGAGACCAAATCCATTTTAAATGCAGGGCAATACTGTTAGGATACAGCGCTCTAAGAACCCTTAGTCTTCTCCCTTAACATTCGTCTGCAGACCCCCACCCCCGCCGAATTCCGGTGTTGCAGAATGTTAGCTTGTAGATTCAAAGCTGCTTCCACCATATTGGCCACTTTCTAAATTATTCCCTTTGAGCTTCTTTAAAGAAGTGCACCTGCAGAATTCTGACACACAGGCTTTGATTAAAAAGGGATCGGATTTTTTTTTTTCTCTGTACCTTATAGATTGTGTAGGAAGCCCAAGTCCTCTTTGAAGAAGCTCATAAACCATGCGGGCAAAGCTTTGGAAAACAGAAGAGAATGAAATGGTACATACCCCTCCGAAGGAATTACATACTAATCAACGTATTCATATTGTGTGTGTGTTTTTTTTTTACTATGGTTCTTAAAATTGGTTGATGACACAAATATAACAAATGCAAGATTCTCTGTATGCAGATGCTGGCAAAGCTGGGAACTAGTAACATTTTCTGAAAGGAACTGATGATGAGTCTGAATCAACTTTTTGGTCCGGATTTTCCTCTGCCGCGGGAGCCTGCTCGGCCGGCCGGCTGCAAAAGCTGCAGCCTCCGCCGGTCCCCGCAGGCCTCCCGCCCGCCGCCCTCGCCCTCCCTATTTAAGCAAAAGGCCCAGGACCTGGGCCGCGTGGTTTAGGGACGCAGGGCGGGGCGGGAGCACCGAGGGGGCCCAAACAACGCAAAAGGGATAACCACACTCATTGTCATCCCAGAAGATTCCCGTAACAGTGTGAGGATGCCAGGGCAGTGTAGAAAAGGGTGGCGGGGAGAGGGACGAGTTGAGGTGGAGGGCGGGGACTGTGAGAGTTTCCTAAAAAAATACTTAAAATTAAAAAGTTCGTGCGTCTCAGTCAACCAGCTCTCAAAGCACTGACACCAACGTTTCTCCGATTTTCTTCCAATAAGTTAGCGTTTTTTCTCATGTTTAGTCTTATGTTTATTTTCCAAAGGGGAGGGGAAATCATGGTTTTCTTTTATTATCAGTGTTACTAAGCTCGAAAGAACCGAAGTGGAAAATCCGGACGGTTGTCTCCAAGTGTATCTTGAAATAGACACTGAGAACCGATATTGTTGCTCCGTTGTACGCCTCAGTTTTTTTTTTTTTTTAAGTTATTTAGCTTTCTTTTTTAAATTTTTGATTGTATATGTATTCTACCTAATATAATTCTTCCAAAGCCAATCCAATATTTTAAAGCTAAAATTAAATTTCTGTTTTTCCTTTTGTATTCAAAACATTTTTCCTTCTTTTTAAAAATTTTTTTTCATTTCCTGTGTTTCTCCTCCTTGTCGCCAGTTTTACTACCTGGGCCTTCCCCAGACGTGTGCCTGTTAGTGGTGGTGTTGTTCAAGAACATCTTGTCCATGCCTTTGAGCGCCTCGGTGAGATAGTTCTGCAGGGCCGTGAGCGCCGCGCAAATGGCCGGGGCGCCGAAGCCGTGCGTGATGAGGCTGAAGTGCGTGAGGCAGCTCTGGATCCCCGGCTCCAGGATGGGGCTGGGTCGGCTGTTTCCGATCGGAGTCCGGTCTTGCGCCAGCAGATCCGTAAATTCTTTACAAAGTTGCCTGCAACGGGGTGGGGGTGGGGGGCACAGAACACCACCTTCAGTGTCGTTGTCATTGGCATTAGAAAGGAGACGCTCACACAAGCCCAGAGGCGCCCAGTCACCGAGGAGCGAGGCTAATGTGGGCGATTCCGCTCTGTTTCCTTTCCCAGCGCTCTCCCTTCTCGAGCAGCTGGGACTGGAAGGAGAGCGGGGGTGGGGAGGCAGTGAGTGCACTCCTTCCACCCCAAAGCCTTGCCCTCCCCGCTTCCGTCTCTGCCCCTCCATTCCAGGACCGCATGAACTCTGCCTTGGGAAATACGCTGGGCTTTGGCATTTGATTTTGAATACTTCATAATTTTGAGCTCCTACCTGGCATTTCTTTTGAGCTATTTTCCCCTCCTCTTTCCTGCCTCTCCAACAACCTCTTGGTGATCGGGCACAAAAAACACTGAAAGATTTAGGCCCCTCGGCCAGAAGCCTGTCCCTGGCACCGAAGCAGATTGCTGGAGCCTTCTATGGCCGAGGGCAAAAAACTGTTTATTCTAGGAGAGAATGCTGATTCCATTCAATGTAAAAACCTGTTTACCTGCAGTATTTGGGGAGGAAGATATTTTCTGCCTCTCCTCCCCTTTCTTTCCTGCCAGTGTAGGCTACTGAAAATCTTTGTATTACAGGATTGTTGTCAATATAAAAGGATTCCCGCATAGTTTAAATAAAACCTAAAGGTAGGCTGTTAAGACACTAGGGAGAATAGATTTTTATTTGTTGAAGGTTTTTATTTCCTCAAGGCACCTACAATTTAGAGGAATCCCCCAGCCTTAGAAATCCTGTGTACCTAACTATGGATTGAGCTTATTTGAGAAATTTTTAATATAGGAGCTGGATGGGAGGGTTTTAGCCCTGAAGGTCAAATGGCTTGGCTTTGCTGGCAGGCAGAGGCACAACATCCCAAAGGCCACAGCTTTCCACAGATTGGCAGACTTCTCCTGTCTACCTGCCTCCACCCAGCCTGTGGGTCTGTGGTGTTCAAAAAAGAAAACTACAGACTTCAGTCCCAGACTCCCTATGGGATAACCTGACAGACACCTTGGAAGACTTGTCCTAGCCAACAGAAAAATGGGATAGGCAACTGTATTAAAAGGACCCTGGGGCATCTTTTCCAGGGTGTTACCACATTAGGGTAGAGGTTAAACCCGATGAGGAATACCACCAGCTCACAGCTGAAAGGTTGTTGTTTTAAGACAAGTGGATAGAGAACACTAACAGGCAGCCTTTTTTTACCCTTTGTTTCTCTATTTGAAATACACACAGCTTCATAACCAGAAAGAAATAGGTAACAGTTCTGACCAAAGTAGGGCCTTTCTTAAGTTCTTGTGGCACCTTAGAATCACCTGTTGGGTTCAAATGCACACTCACATGTGCCTAGCTCTAGTTATTTCCAATTTTGAGAAGATTTGAGGATAGATCCATACATAAATAGCTTGAAAAAAACTCCTTAACTGATCTGATACCCCAGGTTAACAAGTGCTGGCTAAGAGAAGCCATAGTGCTTCAAGAGGAGACAGTTCTATGCAGTCCTTAAGGGAAATGAGAGTTGTTTGTGGAATCCCCTTATCTGATTTATACAGTTTGCTTTTATTTTTTCCCTAAAGTATCCTTCTTTTATAAAGCACAACAGGTTCTCCACCACCAGACACCAAGGCAAGGGCTTGTAGACAATCTACTGACAAAGACCTATTGTACTGCCAGTTGGTACAGCAGAAGAAAATCTACAAAGAGAGTGGGAGCCAGGTTTCGATCACCGGGAGAGAAGGTTAAAGTCTTTGCTTAAGTTTGTCGATTTACCAAAGTGCCAAAAAGGAAATTCTGAACTGAGGAGAACAAATGCTTAGAGTCAAACATTTTAAATCTTCAAAGCTCAAACTGGAGTCTGTAAGCAATTAAAGTTCTGGGACATTAATATTTTTTGACCCTGCGGAAAGGGGCAATCAAATTCCAATCACGTCTCAAAAACATCTGGACAAATTTGAGCAAATGATTTTTCAGCCTTCCATATATTTCTTTAAATTACGCTGTCAACGGGACAAACCGCGTCCTCGAGCACTAAATAAATGAGCGCCGCTGTTTGGGCCGCGCCTGTGAGAGAAACGTGCGGGTGCACGCAGCGCCACCCACCGCAGGCCTGAGCCGGCCATAAAACACCAACAATATGACACCGAAGCCAAAGACAGGAGTAAATCAAATAAATAGAAAACCCACTGTAAAAGTTCAAATGAGCTCTAGACCTAAATTTAGCCAGAGATTTACTGTTTTCCCCTCTGGAGTTGTAGTAAATTTTACAAGTCTGTGGAAGATGACAAACAGCAACGTTGGAAACGGAGTAATTAGAGCTGTGGGTAGAGATGAGTACACGTGGGTGACATATAGACACCCTGAGCGAGCACACATGGCTGTATGGATATGACAGGGAGATAGATGTGAAACCCAGAAAGAAATATGCACCTAGGAATTCAGGGGAAGAGTTGGAACAGGACCCAGCCAGCAAAGGTCCACCTGATATCCCCAGAGTTGCAGAAGAGAACCCTAAGAAGTCTGGTTTCAGATTAACAAAGCCATTCTCCCCATATTTGGAAAGACAAGAACTGAGACAAGCCCATAGCCCATCAACTCTTCCAGCTCCTGAGCATCTGGGGTGGTATCCTATCCACTTGCTACTTTTCTGTCCCCACCGCCTCGGCACCAGCGGGGTGGCCCAGCCAGGTGAGAATGAGTTGAGAGCTGAGAATCTAGGACACTCACTTGGTGGCCAGCAGCATGTTCTTTCGGGAGTGCAGGTCACTAGGGTCTGTGTGCTGCCGGTTCAAATACTCAGAGACAGCTTTGGCGGGAAACTCTGTTTCGCAAATGTACCCAAAATCCCGGGCTAAGTGAACAGCTTCTCCTGAAAAGACAGCAATGGAGGTAATAATCAGCATCCAGTCTCTACACATCCCAGAGCAGGAAACACTCCCTTGTCTACCTTGCTAATATATCCAGAGGAAGCCAACTGCTGGAGTCACAGCAAAGGTGCGATATAACCAAAGTAAAAATAATTCTCAAGCTGTAATTAAGGTTAACAGGACCAACTTTGTTCCTGCTTCTCTTTCCAGCCTCTCCCTGTGCTAAGCCCTAGCTAGACATCCCCTGAATAGCTATGGGGGTAGGAGAGTGGGGGTTCCACATCCCTTGCTTTGTCTTAAGGGAAAGGTGTAGAGTCACCTTACAATTGAACCTAGACGTTTGGCTGGATATTCAAGTCAGATTCCATCTTCCTTTTAAAGAATCTGTTACACCTGCTTTAAATAAAATTTAGAAGTCACCACCATCTTTCTATAATTGTATTAGGGAAAAAAAATCATATAAATAACTAATATATATAAACAAATTCATGTGTTTATATGTCCACATATATTAAAGAATATATGTAAAATGTATGTGGAAAGAGAATTTCTATCCAGGAATGAAATAATTATTATTCTTGTCTCCTTTTCCTGCCAGTCAGGCTTCAGGGGTTTCTCCCTTTCAGAGGTTTCTGTCATCATCCTCCTACTTAAGGACTTTTCACTGCACACAGATGATGCAGCAGCTGTAGAAAACTGGGGTATCTAAAGTATTCTTCATCTTATGTGGAAGCCCCTTTCAAATAAAGCATTATTACCCTTTAGAGCACAGCCTTAGGGGCTCAAGGGAAGATCCCAAACATGAAAAAGAGATATGCTGAATTATCCCATAGCTACATTATTTTAAGGAGCCTAACTTTTAATCATTATTATCATAACAACAGAAGACTTCGGGCATGGTGCTTACAAAGATTCATAAAACCAAAAACTGCCAAACAAATATTGGTATTTCAGTGGGGTGTTTCCAGTTTCCTTCCTTCTCCACCAAAATCCTTGTCCTGAGCTAAGATTACCTTGACTGCTTTTCAAAATGAGGACTGTGATATTAGCAATTCCCTGAAGGGCAAAATGTGAAACCTCCAGGCTGAGAGTCAACTGCTAATAAGTGTGGTCTGGAAATTCAGTGACTGCTGCCTCTGGAGGGTGTTTGGTCTAAGCAACTTTGCCTTAAAGATGGCAAAGTACAAGGCCTATAGCTATGATGACTTATGGTTGCTGCTTAAATATTCTAAGATTCTCTCCTCTAAAAATCAGCTCCGTACTCGAGTATCATAATATTGCACCCATAAAAATAGAAGAAAAACAAAACAAGACCTACAAGCTAGGCTAGGTAAAAGCCTGCATCTTCCTTATTAGGGCCATCTGGCTGTATTTCCTATCCCTTCCCACAAATTCAGCTACAAATCCTCTTGTTCCAGACCGTGTAGATGATCCTGTTTATTACACACCATAAATATCATCCCCAAACCCAAACTGATGGGCAAATTAGAAGGCGCTTATTACAATTGTGGACCTCTAATTCACAACTGATGAATCTACACTGAAGATCATACCTGACTCCCCTACATATTTCTTTATCCCTCCTCAACATTTTTTTCCTAGGCACCATTGGCCTTATTAAGCTATCAATATTTCAGTAACAAATATGTGCCAGGTAATCTGCAGGAGATTGGGCCCTGAAAGTGACAAGAGTTTTAAAGTAACCATTAGGGGTCATGAATGCAACTGTGTTTGCTAGCACTGACAATTCAAATCTGGGAAGGGAAGTGGTATAGAATAGATGTTGCTTAGAGTTACTCTTGCATGAGTTTATACGGAGGGTGTCCCACACGTGGCAGCAGGGGTGACCCCCGCTTTGGCTTGGAGACTGGACCTGAGCACTTTTTAGAGCACAAGGACTCTCCTGCACTTCCCTTGGCTTCTACACAACTGCTGGCTTCCCCTAAGTAAAAGCACCTTTGAACCTCTCTCAAGCAGCCGCTTGACATCCAACTCATAAGGGCACAACAATCGCAATGATTTCCAGTTAATCATGAAACGTGTAAAATGTCAGCTTCCAACCGACAGTTAAGCTCAGCCACTTCGTGAAATGGCCACATGTCTTGCTTACCTTCCACCAGGGAGGTGAGTAACGTGACATTTGCTGCTTTGCGCCTGCCCGCGGGTAAATTCAAACCGATTTTTTCTAGCCTTTCTCGCAAAGATCTCCCCCCATTTTTCGATTTGGCTCTGAAATTGCAAGAATTAACATTCTGATTAACCTCAGAGTGTTCCTGAAACAAAGTTTAGGCTTAGCAATCTAAAGCCCAGTGGAGCTTGAAGAGGTTTTAACTTGAGGTTAGCACATTTTTCCCCCTTCCTTTTGGTTATTTGCTGATAGTTTGCTGAGGCTTGCTTAATTTCTGCAAGACAGAGAATTTTTTTAAAAATTTAAGTCACTTTATTTTTTTATCTCACAAGGAAAAAATGATACCAGATGGGAATAATTAGCGTGTGGGTTGTGTGTCCAAGAGAAGGTAGAAGTCGCACATGCGTGCGCTCACACATTCCTTCCTTGTCATGAAGCCAGTGACATGAGCAGAAACTGGGCAAGCACAACCTCGCTGAAAAGAGGAAAAGAGCCAGGTGGCTTGGAGATGAGAAGACACTTGATGAAACAGGTGGGCTTTCCGAGGAAGGGAAGCCAAGAGATGCTGTATAATGGAGTTGTGTTAAAAGAATAGGATAGACTAAAACATGAAATTGATAATGATGATAAGACTAATACTTTTGGGAGTTTAGTTATGTGATAAGCACTTTATATTGAGTATCTCACTTAATCTCATAGCAAGTTTTATACACACTTGCTCAATGATCAGGGGGTGACTGAAAGCTTCCACATTCTGAGGCTCAAATGACTCACTTGAAAACTTAATCGAATTAGGGTAGAGGAAAGAGGGGACTGTCAACCTCCAAGATCGGGTAACTCAGAAAGTTCCATTTCATACAAAGTCACCTTCCTATCAGGTATACTGCCAAAGAGTTCAAGTATTGCCAGGGATTTGGGGGGAGGATTAAAATCTTAAGACGAAAACCATCTCTTCCTCCATTTCTATGTGGAGGACTCAATCTATGGGTTGAAATACTGGGAAGTACTCAACTATTTATACTTCTACAGTAGAATTACTCCTCTTATTGGTGGTGGTGTTATTGAGGGAAGGAGGTCACGAACTTAGAAAAGAGTTTTCCAAACTGTGAGGCACAATGCATTAGTGGCCAAATGAGGTGGTCACCAACTGCATTTTAAAACACGCACCTAAAAATAAACATTTGAGTATATTGAAGGTATGAAGAGAGATGCTTCACCAAACTTGTTTTAGGGGTGTGTGTGCTTTCTCTGGGGTCATACCCTTAGGGTGTGTGTGTGTGTGTGTGTGTGTGTGTGTGTGTTTTCTGGGGTCATAAATAAACATTTGAGTATATTGAAGGTATGAAGAGAGATGCTTCACCAAACTTGTTTTAGGGGTGTGTGTGCTTTCTCTGGGGTCATACCCTTAGGGTGTGTGTGTGTGTGTGTGTGTGTGTGTGTGTGTGTGTGTGTGTTTTCTGGGGTCATACCCTTAGGTTGGCGGTGTCCTGGCGGTGGGAGCGCGCAGGACCAGGAAAGGGAAAGCTTCCCAGGGCGCAAAATCGGCGAGAGCAAGCGGCTGCGCGTTCCCAGGGCGCAAAATCGGCGAGAGCAAGCGGCTGCGCGTGCGCGGCGCGGGCGCGCGAAGCGTGGGTGCCTGGGCACGGGCGATTGCGCGCGCGGCCCCGAACACGTGGCGGCCGCGGCCCTCCGTACGCGCGGCGCCCAAGTCGCGCGCCGCCCCCCCACCCCTGCGCTGCTAGGCAACCGCGCTGGCCTTCCCCTCGGGTTCCGCGTGAGTCATCTCCTCCCCACCCGATTAAAAAAATAAAAGGGGGTTGGAGGGGCGTACCTTCTGAGGACGCCGCCGAGGAGAGACGCGTTGAGGCATTCGGGAGGTGAGAGCCGTCTCTGAACTTCTCCCACCGTGACTTTGTACTTTGAAGTTGAACTGAGCAGAGACAAACGGCCCGGGACTGAGCAAAACACCTCGCCGGTGTTGACGGACATGCCTCCCAGGAAGCCATCTTTATTCATCATTAACGAAGTCACAGATTTGGGAGGAACCGGAACTGGCAAGAGAGAGGAAAAAAATTGGCCATAAAGGTGACCGGGTTTCGATCCTGGTGACCGGCTGATAGAATGTGTCATTGCATAAGGCCCCAGGACGGACGCCAAGTGGAAAGCTGGGGAGGAAGTGTTTGCTCCAGGGGGCTGCGGGGCGTTCAGGGCGCTGCAAACAGACGGAAATGCCATCACTCTTCTGCAAACTTACCCCTGTGTAGATAGACGAGTGGCACTTGCTACAGCCCCGCTGTCTGCACAGATCAAGAAATCACACAACCCTGAGTTTGGATTGTGCTGTAAACCCAGGCAAATCCTACTCCATCACGTTCTATCTCTGTAACCTTAGACATCTTACTGAATCTCTCAGTTTTCTTATCTGTGTCGGGGGACGATAATACCGATTTTATTTGGTGCAGAAGCTAGTGGGGATTATCACCATTCAGGATGTGAAATGGTAACACCAGTGGGAACCCATTTCTCTTTTCCTTTTGGACCCAAATCTGTAGCCACCACCAGCGAATCGGCAGGGCGGGCCCCATGAGATGACGTGCCCAAGAACAAACAAGTAAACACCGCTGAATTGGGGAGTTGGGCTCAAAAGAGCTGTTCCACGAGAGCTGCTCATCTTTTTAAAGTGGGCCCTGTTCTCTCCTATAATAACAGCAGATTCATGAAAAATGAACCCAAATGCTCATCTTCAGTGAACGCGATTCTACAGTGACATGAATTTTGTTTACAAATTAAAGCACCGGCTGGTGATTGTTTGGAGCAGTTATGATTTACAACAGGTGCCCTGATCAATCAACCAATCACTCTAATTCATATGAGCAGCGGTCTTGCCTTGCCCCAGTTGTTTCATTTCGGCAAGTAATTGATAACAAACCTCACTCAAGGTATGTTTTATGCAGAAGTTAATAAGAGCTGACAGCTGGTTGCCACTGTTACCCTGGCGCATTCAGCCTTCCAGCCTGTATTTCTGTTTAATTGTGTTTCAGTGTCATCTGCACGTCAGAAAGAGGCTGGGCTCTTTCTGAAGGCTGGGAATAAGGGACAGTCAGCCTCCCAGTTTCCTGGCAGTCTTGCCCCTTGGACTTCAATGCTCAAGCCCGTTTTTGTTCTATAGGCTCTGGAAGCCCCCATGCATGCAACTTCTCCTCTAACTTGCCCTACACCTTAGATTCTTCCATTGGGATATGAAACCCGTAAATCTTTACAGTATTGTTGATCGCCGGTCCAGAGAATGTATTGAAACATACATTTTGTGTGAAAAAAAGAGATTTCCATTCCCACCTATTTGATAATGACTGTCTCACCCTATCATTTTGATAGGGGGAAGATTCATTTTTGGAACTGGGCAGGGCCTAGCACCCTACATGTCAAACAAGATGCAAACCTCCCTTGTATGAACCAGACTATCCAATACTATTTCAGTAACAGATTGTTTAGAGACTCCTGAAAGCTAGGTAGTCCCTGGATCTTTTATTTACTATGAATTGCATTTGGTCCCTTAAAAACACCTTGTGGAAAAGAGCTTTCCTAGGAGAGTAGGTGGAAGGACTAAAGCACTCCCTTGTGTTACTCCTTGGTAGGCATTTTAGGATCTCTGGATCTGTCCACGGAGCCCAACACCTTGTATCAGGTGGACAAATGATGTTAGGCAACAGAATGGATCTACACTGTCATAGGGTGGGGCTGGTGGATACAGAGGAAGGTTTCTCCCTCATTCTCACATCAGTGGATCTGCTTCCCATTTGAGAGTGAACAGATGAAAAATCGAAGTGTGAATATTAATCCGATTTGAGTAAAATCTGGAGTTAAAGTCACTTAATAGATGGGTGATTGGGGTGGAAACACCCTGTCATTTAATTCTCATATACAATATCCACATCTATTTTAATCTGTCTTATTCTTCACAGCAGTTCTGAGTGTCATAATTCAGATTCACACTGAAGGCACTATTAACAAATAATTTATGCTAATAGGAATCGTCATTAGGAAAACTTGGGAGTTTCCCCAAAATATAGATGGCCCTTTGTAGTTTTAACATTATGTGAACTGTAGAAATAAATTATATTTGAATCTCATCTTTAACACTCAGCAGCACTATTTTTATCTTTAAATAGTGTTTAGAAAGGATATATTTCAACAGCAGCAACAACAGCACACCCCACTAAGCTGAAAGAACTAAGTTCAGTTCCTGCTTCCTACAATGGATAACCAAATTTCTTCTGAGGATTGGAATTTTTCCTGCTTCTTCCAGTCCCAGAAGTCAAATATCTTGAAAATCCAGGCCTTTAGAGACACCTCACAACACGCCCTCTAATGTCACTATTGTTAATTGTTTGATTTGCCTGACAAGAGCTATTTCTTTTGGGAAGAGTGTATTGCTCCCTCCCAGGGGTTATACCTTTCTGCGTATGCATGATCACCTAAGTAACCCCAATCCAGTCAGCTTCTGTTAGCACCACTGCCCTCTCTGAGAAGGTTTTTGTTTTATTTTATTACTACCCCAAAACAGACAATGTGAGCACATGTGCTTCATATTATATTTCCATTTTCTAATTTAAATATCATAATATTGTTCTTCAAGTTCTAAACCTCACTCCTTAGTATTGGTCCCCTAGACTACTAGACCGTACACATTTCTGATCCCAACTTTCCTTTAGGTCAGTATCTCCATCATCATCTACTTTCCCCTCCACTTTCATGCCTGCTTGGCTCAGCTGATTAACTCCATATTTTATTCTCTTTGTCTTTTTCCTTCTGTTTTCCTCCAACTTATCAATAAACCCAGAGTGCAACAGGGCCTGGTTGATTTGCTAGTAATTATAAGCACACTGTTCCTGCTCATGGAACCCAGAGATGACTGAGATAGGTTTCAAGCGACAGCAGGAAATGGTAAAGAAATGGGGCATAGCAAAACTCAGCATGAAGCTTTCAGTTCTTTACATGTTTACAATTTTCTGTGCATACATTAAAAGTGTTTTTTTTTTTCCTTTTCAGTTCTCAGTTGAGTGGCATGGCCAACTTTTGGATGTAGCACTTGCAAAACTAACTTCCCTCCCTTTCCCCCTGCATTATGTTGGGAGAAGAAAAAAAAGGTTTACAAACAGATCAATATTTCATTACAGTGACTGGAGTTTTATTTAAGAGAAAAATAAGGGACTGTAGAGAGCTAAAAATGATAATAGACTAGGTCTTAATCTCTACACTTTAAACTTAAGTGTGAAATCATTGCTTTGAGATCTTTGTGTTTGTGTTTGACTTGATCTGCTGGTGGGGAGAAGGGAAAAAAATGAACCTTACAGATTTAAGAAGTAAGTCCCTCTAAAAGGCACTCTTGACTTAAATATGTAAACTACATTGGAAAACAACCAAGAAGTTTAGCATTGATTCAGAGTGGCCCCAAACAGTGAAATAATTACTTTTTATCATCAAAGTACCCTTTCCTCACTCATGTATAATTTCTCATCTACCTCAAGGTTAAATTTTATTCCACATATGTATAAATGTGAACAATGAAATTGTGGGAAGAAAAATAAAATCATTTCCACAAATAAACCTTGAATGAATATATATATATATACATGTACACACACACACATACACACACACACACACACAACTACAGACATCCAGATCCAGTATTGGCATCTTTTAGGGACAGTCTCAAAGGTTGGAAACTGAATTGAGTCTCATCACTTAGTATGTGGAGCATTGAGCAAGTCATTTATTGTCTTTTTGGCTCAGTTTCTGCACTTGGGGGTGTTGGAGAAGAGTGTCTAACCTTTCTGACTTTAAAATTCTATGAAGTCTGATCACTCCCTGGGTGACTGGAATGTGTCTCAGGGTCTCTAGTTGATAAATCACTATTGGGATCCAAGGCAGTTCTGAAAATGCATACTTCTTCCTTTGAGTGGAAACTCATACCTTCCAGAGGCTCTGATAGACTCTCAGTGCTTTTTACCATCCAGGTCGGAAGGAAGAATCCCAAAAGAACCCATTGTAATCAAAATTTGGCAATTTTTTTTACTTCCTCTGAAAGAAAATTCACACCAATCAGTATTTATGTGGGGAAGGGGCCAGAACTAACGGGAAAGAAAGTGGGAGAGAACGGAGTTTGAACTGAAACTAACCAAACAGGATATCCCTAAGACCAATGAAAATGCCCCACAGTCACAACATTTGAACCTTGGACTCCAGCCACTGTAGCCTTTCCAAGAAATCCCAGCATATTTTCTGTTGTCTGAGGTGTTAGACAGATTGCCTATTGGCTTCTGATTGCATCCAAAACTTTTTCTTGCAGCCTAGGTGAGCCCTTTTTTAGTTAGGCAATACGAGATGTTGGCAGTGATCACTTTTATTAACTGGGTACACCCTCTCCCCCACTCACCGCCCAGATTTCTAACCTTAATGGAACCGAGAGCTAAGAATGATTTTTTAATGTCTCGTTGGATTTTTAGACTGTTAATGTACCGAATCCTTCTCATTATTACTTTATTGATTGCTCATTGACCAGCCCCCTTCAAATCGTATTAACCACCCTCTGCCGGTTTAGATTAGGAGAGTTTAAAAAGCACCTTTCATTACGCCCTCCACTCCTGCCATGGAGTTGAGACTAGGCAGCTTAATGGGAGCTCTAATGGGGCAGCTAAGAGGAGAGGGGCCACGGTCCCTGCCGATTGCATTAATAGCTCAAAGGGGGCCAATACAGAAAATTAGCCGTAAACGAGCTCTGGAGATCTTCAAATGAAAGAGCCATTTATCACGCTGGCTACCTTCACTCCACTCGTTTGCTCTCTCTACTGGGAACAACTCATTTCCTCTTAACTAAATTACTTCAGAAATGTCAGCTAAGCCCAGATAGCAAACATAACAAGAGAGAGAGAGCCTATAATCTATGGGGTGATATTAACATAGGTGAAAAATTAGACTGGTTAAATTTTAGGTGTGGGGGCTTGCCATAATTGGAGAGAGACACATATCTTTTATGCCCAAGTCTTCTGGCTTCAGAAACCCAGGCTGAGACCCCCATACCTGGACTAGTTGCCAGCCTTTCATTAACAAGAAGAATTTGTTTTTAAAAACCTGTCTAAAAACCCATTAGAAAATATATTAAGCAATGGAGACTTCTGACAGTTACTGAAATTTAGAATATTTAGTTCGGAAAACTTTCTCACTTCTTACAGAATTAGTCTCCTGGAGAAATCCCTCAAAGGAGAAGGGGTGGGCAAAAATGGGAGACTGGAGTGCAGGGACGGGGCTAATGAACCCATTACTTTAAGTGGTTCATAGTGGGTTAGAAAAATAAATCAAGCACTTATTCCTATTTTGCCTATGGCTCTCTAAAGATAAAAATATGATATTAGGATCTTTTCTTCATGTAATAAAGCAAATATCTCAAATATTAAATAATGGAATTGGCCTGCCATTTCATATTCATACCACGCCCACTGAATCAATCAAAGTGACTGGAGTGCTATGTAGATATTTTAAGCTGTACATTTTTTCAAAAGCTCTAGGGGACATAAAATTTACTCCAGTGTTTCCAAAAACAGCACTAGCAACTTTAGTCAATATTCTTTTTTTTTTCTTATTCCTGGAGATAATCTTACACATAAATAATACGCATAAATAGTCACATTTCGCTGACAAACATATACAAGCTCTGAAAACCGAAGCATCCCACATCTAAGAATATGTTCAGCTCTGTTTTGCTAGGCAAGCTAAGTTCCAAATATTTTTATTGGCCTGCCTATTAATAACATTTCTGATTGGTCATCTGTTGGGCATGTCCCACTGACAGCCCAAATGATGTTGCTAGGATACGGAACCATGAGCTAAGTGGTTATAGCTTTCCATGAAAAGGGAGGAGGAACTAAAACAGCAACAACAAAAAAAGCCAATGGAGTAGATCCCCCTCCCCAGTCAACCAGCAATTAACCAAGAGAAGACCCAGGAGAAAATGGTGAAAGTGAGCTGTCAGTCAGTACAGCTGCCAAGTCAAAGCACCAAGCCTGGGTATCCTAGCAAGCCCAAAAACTGGCATTAAAACCTGAAATGATATTATCTAAAGAAGAGAGGGAAAGATGTTTGGAGTAACACTTTAACCGTTTTGCCCCAAACCTTACTATTTTTCAGGATATTTTATTCCAACACCAAATGGCACCATTTCAAGTATTGTTTCCCCCACCCACCTCGTAAAGCTACTCTTCCTGTCTGTGTAAAAAAAGACAATTTAGAATACCTCACCCTGTTTGGAATTCCTGTTCCACAACCTTCCCACTACTCCAATCTGAGTCTGGAAGAGTTACTTCCCAAAGTATCTTTTCCTTTTCATTGCTTTTGTGAATGTCAAGTGGCGCAAGTGGATCATAAATGACTGAAGTTGGTGATTGTTGACACCAAGCATAGGGACAGACTTTCTCCAGCATCGATACGAAAGGGTTACAGTAGTAAAAACTGCATCTTCAAATACCAGTTCCAGTGATAATTAAAGATTGCACTGTTTACACATTTAAGCTCCTAAATTTGGGGCATGTGAGTGACATTCAGGCCTTTTGGCAGCCACACTAATCGCCAGGCATTCTCTCAGTGACTGTCAGAGAAGAGGAGAAAAAATTAAGCAGCTGCAATACGCTCGAAATGAGTTATTGTAATTACATTTAATTAGTTTAATTAGTTAATTATTTTGCTTACAGCTGTACAAGAGACTGCAAACATTTGTTAATATCACATGCCCTTTAACAGTATGGGGTGATTCCACAGTCACACTAAATCATGAATGCATATGTAGGAAGATTTAGAAATGTGCATAGGCTGTCTCAGCTTCTCAGGATGCAAATATTTAGCAACACATTTGGCACAATTTTTAAAAATAATAAAGGAAACATACAATAAAGGAAACATAAAACACAGAGAACCGGGAACAAAATTACCAACAAAAAATCAAATACAAAAGCAGGGAAAGAAGGAGCTGTCTCAATGACATAGGGTTTTAGCTCAGCGAATTCCAGTTATCAATGAAATAATTATAGCACATTCTTGAAGCCAGTGTTTCGCAGTCAGTTCTACACATAATGATAGCTCAATTATTTAAGATGTATCTGGAATGGCTACTAAATGTGCCATGAGAAAAAATGACAATAGTTTCTGTCCCTTTCACTGTCTCTCATCCGAGTTTCTGTCAGAGGTTTTCGATCTTCCTGGCCCCACTTTCTTCTCCCGGACATGCCCTTTTACCTAGTCTGAGACCCACTGTCCTATAATTATGAACAAACCTTTGTTTTAAAACCATGAATTACCCCAAAGTGAAACTCATTGTAAAGAAAACTTTGCCTACTTTTGGAGGGAATATTCCATACCTTTTTTAATGACAGACTGGTCCAATAGATTCATGCCGCTGTTATTGGCATCTTCAACTGACTGCGAATAAAAAACATCACTATTCAAATTGACTGGATATTAAAGAATTGCACACATAAATCATGTCATTCCAAACTGGAGTTTCTATTATTTCCATTTATATTAATTCACAAAGGGAGGTTTTATTATTATCATTATTACCTCCAAATTGACGTAGAAATGAAATTCGCCCGAATTATAAATTCTTCCAGTGGAAGAAGAGGAAAAAGGAAACTATGAGAGACATCTGGGATGCAATATTGGTTTAGTTATCATATGAAACACAGATATTACATATACAGATAAACCTTTATATTATGTGCTCTTATGAATTGTGAAAATTTGGCAACCGCTGAAAGATTTTCACCAATATTAGTAAGTGTAATTTCTGTTTTCCTTCCTATCCCAGTGCATCTTAACCCCAGAGCCATTTTACAAATACATAATAGTTTACATTATGGGATTTTAATTAAAGTATGAGCAATTTGGAATGGAATGCAAACAGCAACACATAGAAACATGTTTGCAGATCTCTAGGACCGCACACCCATTGCAGTCCATACATGTTCCTGTGAGCTGTGGGCTTCTTGCTGCACAATGACAATCCCTTAGAGGAACCTGCACAAGTCATCCCTCCTCCCAACTCTGCTGATGCTGCTTCCCAGCAAGGAGCACACCTGTTTGGAGGGTGGTAACTACAAACACACAGACACACACAAAGGCCTGGATCCTTCCAGTCAGCACCTAGGTGATCGAAAGGAATATTCACCTTTTGTGCCACAGTTTCATCCCAAAGAAGGAAAGTTTCATGCTCAAGCCTTGGCATCACTTCTGAGGGAAAATAGCTGTTGGAGCAAGGTTCTTTTCTGGCTATGCATCCCTGGGTGTCCAGAAGCAGTGGATTCCCTTCTCCTTTTTCCTACCCATAAATCTTTCCGAAATGTCCAACTCCTTTCCTTGACCCTTAGAAAACTACCTTTGGACCAACTTGTCATTCACTCCATGGAGTAAAAAGCAAAAGGCTTGAGAGCGTGGAGGTGTTTTCACAGCACCTCACATCAGCTCATGCTGCATCTCCAGATAGGGTATGAGTTCATCAGAAGAAAAAGACTGTCTACCCCAAGCAGCACTAGAGAATGAGACGATCAAATCACAGAGGGGGCATGTTAATTCATTTCTTTTCATTTTTATTAGTCTCCTGTTCTCAGGTGAGGAAAGTGTTATTCTCCTTAGGAACAGTTTTCCTTGCTGCAACATGCCATGAACCTCTTAAGAAATAGTAAAAAGCTGTTTAAAAATTACTTCATGTAACTTGTTCATAACTCCTCAGGGGACCCCACCATGCACACATGCACGCCAACACACTCGATTCATGTCTTTTTATGTTCATGTGTCTGCAGTGGCAGTGTGTCCTCGCAGGACAGAAACATTTGCCTGTGCTTACACCCGCCTGGACCTATGAGCCCCACACCTCACCCTCACGTCGGTACGTAAATATGTATAAACGCCTCATCAGCGACGTGGGGTAGTTGTGGTAGTTAATGAGAAGGCTCTTGTCTGATTTTCTATCTAATTACGGCCGCCTGCTGGGTTTTTGTACAGGATATTCACGCAGCATGCTGGCGCTTAATCGTCACAGGGAGGATCGTAAAGATTTAATTAGGACTGCATGCGGAAGCACAGAAAAACAACTCAGACTCGTAATTACTAGACTTCTTTAGTTAAAAGTGATACCAGGGGTTGCTTTAAGACACTCGGGTGTGTTTGAGTGTGTGGTAGTGGTGGTGGTGGTGATGGTGTATGTGTGACTGTGTATATTTAGGAGCTTGACTTAGCATCCTATGTTTAGACTCCGGTGGTAGAGATGAGGGGAGGTTGGACAGTAAAGATGGGAAGAAGAAAAGAGGCACATGGCAACGAAACAAACCCAAACTAGTATCATTTCACTCCCTCCTTCTCTCTTTCTGTAGCTGTTTTTCTGAGTTTTTAACACTTGTAGCCCCCCACCAGAAACACACACACACACACACACACACACACACACACACACACACACACACACACACAATGGGTGAAATGTAGCATACCCAGAACCCAAACAGCGATTTGCTAGTTTAATAGCCCCTGTGAGTAAATTGAAATAGAAATTGACAAGGCTTTATAGTTTCATTTAAAAAATATTAGAAGCATTTGGTTAATTAGCTCTCCTCCTTCTCTGTCTCACGGTCGGGGCGGTGGCCCTGCATGCATGTGTCTGGGTCACACAACAAAACCCTCAACCCACAGGCTGGGCAGCGCCCTTGGGGTCCCACTGGTCCGTGACTGGGGGGATCAGGAACACACACAGGTCTTTGACATCCGAACAAGTGACTGTGAAGTCCAGGCCTAGGCACCCACTGATCTGTCTTAAAGACTGGATGGGTGCAGCCAATCCATTCCATACCTGCAGGGAATGCCGACACGCCGAATGAATTGTAAAACTTTAGCTGGCACTCCAGACCCCTAACTTGGGAGCAGAGGAGTTGCAGCCTTTGGATTCAGGGTGCTGGTCCTGAAAACATGTCCCTCCACTGTCTGTCACCTGCCCTGGGTCACATCAACATCACCCTGGCCTCAGGAGTTCCGTCATGCCAAGGAGACAGAGAGCATCCTGCTTCTGCTGTTTCCCTCCAGGGACAGCTCTGGGTATATGCCTTACAAAGGTTTGCATGGAGGGTCATCCTGAGAAAGTCTGTGGGCCTCCCCACTTCCCAGGCGACGAGGGGTGAAGCCCAGGGAGAAACTGGGCCAGGGAAGGGTGGGGATCTTGGCGGACTCAGGCCTGCTCCCTCTATATCCAACAGCAGCATCTTGCCCCATGGGGCTCTGTTCACACAAACCCTCTAAATCGTTTCCGACGCTTCAACAAAGGTATTCTCCCAAATGCACACTGACATGGCCCTGTTTTTCTCTCACATTCTGCATTTCATCAAACGCTCAGAAACCCTCACAATTCTGTCTTTAAAAAATAAACAAATAAAACCAAAGAAATCTGCTTCTTCTTTTTGAGGAAAAATCCTGAGTTCCTTTGCCTGAGCCACTCGGCCTGCAGGGTGGGATGACACAGCATTAGCATCACCAAAGGTAATGGTGATGAGGCGATCTACTTTCATTATCCAGCACTTTGAACCGTACTGAGAAAGGTTAATTTAAAAACTTTCCCCCCCAGACACATATTACCCCGGTGCATTAAAAAAGAACTATTAAATATTTCCTCTTCTCATATGATATTCCGAAATGAGCAAAATCTCCAGACGGGGACAGTTAAGCTCGGTTAAAACAACAAAACCACCACTCTTATTACTATGGGTAAATCCAGCCAGAAATCAGGTAGTTCCATCTTTTAAAAAAAACCCAAAAAACTGAATTTCTTTTAAAACAACAAACCATCATAGACCACACACAGCATTTGATGCTGTCATCACATTTTACTGTTAATTTTTTTGTTCCAGCAAGTTAAAGAAGAGTGACTGATGCATCCCTTTCCCTTTCCCATTTTATTTTCCTTTGCTTCAGAGGTATATCTAAAATGATGCATAATATATACAACTATGCCAATGAAACTGAAGTGTCAATTAAATACCTTTCAACTATATTTATCTTTTCTGCAGACTTTTTAAATTAGGGCAAAAAAGAGACCTGCTCAGAATCACCCAGACAGTTTTTAGGAATCTTTAAAAAAAAATGTTTCTTTGTTTAGTTTAGCCAAGTATTCTCAACCAAATCAGGCTCCATTGTGTGGACTGCAGATGGGATAGTGGGTGGGTAGAGGGAGTGTTTTGAGCCTTTTGTTTTAAGTAAACACGTGATGCCTCTTCAACTGGGTTGGGGCATCGGGGAGAGAAGGGTGTTAATAGAGGAGGAAGACTGGAGAGGGAGGTGGAGAATATGGCTTTACACTCATTTCCTGGACCAAAAAGTGAAAATAATTTCCAAAATAGTATCTCCCCTCATGGACTTTCAAACTGAATTATAGCTTTCTGGGACTCCCCTTCACAAACATTCCATTTCTCGGGTGAAGACTGGAACACTGTCTTGCAGCGGGGTTCTGCGACTTAGGGAACATTCAAAACAAGACCTGGCTTAGACGAACACAGCGCACGTCTTTCTCCCAATGTTCACTGTCATGCTTAGCAAATTCTTTGCAAATCCAGCAGGAACCTCTGGAGCACACAGAGGGCCCCACACCTTCATGCTGGAGCCCCGGCTTCCAGGCAGTTAGCCTTTACCAGCCAAGTCAGTGGGACAGGCCCACCATGGGGTGTGCATGTTGGTGAGGAGGGAGCCAAGCCTGCTCCCACAAAGCACCAGAGAGTACGCAGGAGACCGTAGCTGAGGCAAGGTAAAAATATTAGACTTTATTCTAGTACTCTAAAAATACCAAAACACATATTTTTCTCCTTCAAGATTTAATTTCTAGAGGGTCTGGCCTCCCTAATAGGACCTCTGGAAATCGCCACTACGGAAGCCATGCATACGCACACGCATAATCAGTTCTACAGGTCCTGTCCAAGAGTCCTGTTCTAAACATGGGAACAACCTCCCCCAAGAACACCGAACCGCCCCTCCCCCTCCCGGGGCATCGCTCGCCTTGTTTGCTTGTGGTTACCTGGACGTCTTCCATGCCGGGATGGCCGAGGCCGTGCAGCGACAGGCTGTCACCCATGCCCGCGTCCAGGCCATGGTGCGCCGAGTGCAGCAGCACGTCCGGCCGGCGGACCGAGTGGTAGTCCCTCCGGGGATCCAGGCCCGAGAGCTGGGGCAAGGCGGCCCGAGGCTGAGGCAGGAGAGAGCCGGCTTCCGAACCCACTTCTTGCCGCTGCCGTTGCCCCCAGGGGTGCTGCTGGGGCTGGTGCAGTGGGTTCAGGGAGTAGGGGTCGTTGACGTGGGAGTAAGGGTCCTGGCTCTGGTGGTAGGGGAGCGGCTGGTAAGGGGGCGGGAAGTAGGGCGGCTGGAAGTCCGACGACGGGGTGTGGGACAGCGGCGGGGCGCTCGAGTAGGGTCCTTGGGACACCGAGCCCAGCTGGGAGAGCCGCGAACTGTGGCTCGGGACGCCATCGTGCCGGTCCTGGGAGCGGAGAAAGGGAGAGGCAGAGACAGAGAGCGAGGAGAGAGAGAGACAGAGAGACAGAGGCAGAGAGCGACAGAAAAGAAAAAAAAAATACAAGCGACAAATGGAGAAGCCCGGCTTCCGTACACCCTTCCAGGGACAGGGGAAGGAAGAGTCTGAAACTTAGACCCCCAAGTTGACTCAGAGGGCCACACGATTTCAGCAATTCCAAACGCGAGGCTTTGGGGAGAAAACGGGGGAGGGGAACCACCCATTAACTAACATTTTAGCCTTCTTTTGAGAGTGCAAAGCAGGCAAAAGGCAAGGAACTGTGTGCATGGAGGGAGATTTTAAATGCCTGAATTACTAATGTAGGAGTTACATATGGTGTTTGCTCCTCTGGGTTTTCGAAACGATTTTTTCCAACTCCTCCAGTGGTCCAAAGTACAACAAATCTAACTTCATAATATCTGCTGTGCTCCTGATTAAAAACCAACTTCTGCCTTCACTGGCAACCCAGCCGCAGCCGGCTGGTCTGGAGCCTTCCACACCACCTGATCAGTCCAAGGGCTCTGGGTTCCCGGCCACCCCTCCCTCCCCAGGAGGAATTAAGTAACTTAAATAGTGTTTGATTGAAACGGATCTCATTTGAAAGCATATCTTAAGCCCATGTTAACTTGAGTTGTGGTTCACAGGAGTTATTTCTAAGGTTGTTTTTCTATGTCTAACGCTATTATACTCCAGGGTGTGAAAAAGGAAGGACTTGAAGTTGGGAGGGAGGAAAAAAGCCCAGACAACTTATTCTAGGTCCTATCTGGAGTATAGACTAAGTGAAAGACAAATGGGGAGATGTGTATATGTGGGAAGGGAAGCTTTAAGTTTCCCTCTCTCTCCTCTGTGGAAATACCACAGTAACGTCTCCATGGTTCTTTTTGCAGAAATAGTCACCTAAATTTCCAAATTGCAAAGGCAAATAAAAAGTTTCTATTTGGCCTCCCCCTCCCAGCTGATTCATGGAGCTCAGACGGAGAACACACAATGCAGAGAGAAGCAGCTGCAGCCTCGTCCAATTATGGTGCTAAATTACCAAGCCAAAGGCGCTCAAAGGAAGACAGAGAGACAGAGTGTGAGACACACACACAGAGAGAGACACAGAGACGGAGAGACAGTGAGAGGAGGGAGCATGCAATTTTGGTAACACGTGAATCCAAACTCACCATGGATGAATAGGTGTGGACTAACATCTGGAAAAAAAAGCCTGGTTACTGCTCAAAATCAAACAATGATTTTTTAAAAAATCAAGGAATCCAGCAGAGAAGCGAGCTGGACTCGGGAGCTGAGCTTGAGGTGTTTCCAGGACAAGCCATCAAAAAAAAAGAAAAAAAAAATCCCCCCCCCCAACGAGATTGGCGATGCCTGTCACACACAGACAGAAAGGTTCATCTGTCTCTTTGCTGTCTTTTTGGCCTCTTTTCTTCCGCTGTTCTTTGGGGCTCCAGATGCAGTCTTCTTCCACCCGAAGCTGGGCTCAGACTGCTCGGGCGCCCCTTCCTCTCTCCGCTTGCCTACACCGCCTCATAATAATTGATATTCATGACTATTAATATTACACGAGTACTTTAAAGGGAGAATGGAGGACAAATGGAGCGTGAAGCAGCAGCCAGCGCAGAGCTCCCCTACTATTGTAAATGACGTTCATTCAGTGGAGAATTACTAGATGTAATCAGACGAGGGGGTTGGCAAAGGCAGACTGGGGAAAAAGTTTAGCAGGAAAGAGGCAGAACTTCAATTAACTGAGCCGGGGACACGCGTAAAGCCGTCCCTACTCCTGTGGACAAGGCAGGGAGGGAGAGCAGCGCTGGGTGTCCTCCTACTGGGAGAGGGCCTTTCCTCGTGGGGGAAGCTGACCGCCCTGGGTGCTTTGTGTGCAGATTAGAAGGCAAAATAAAAAGGGGTTGCTGCATCATTTGAAGGGGAGAGACAAGAACACCGGTGGGCCTGGTTGTTTACAGTGACAGTGACGTGGGCAGACTTCTAGTGAATGTGGAAGATGATGCTCATTTATTAAAGGACACGGGCGAGATGGGGGTTTTTCAATCTCCTGAGCAGCTTTTTCCTCTTTAGTGCTCGCACAGTCTGCAATTTTTACCTCGATTTAAAACATAGGCCATCAGTCTTCAAGTGCACCAAACTTATCCTTTCCAGGCAAAGCCAGGGGCAACAGAAAACCTTTTTGGATGTTTCAGGAACCCGTTCAACTGGCCTGACTGCCATTTCTGTTAAAGTTCAACCTTAGTCCAGACTTAAATAGGCTCCTTCCACCGAGCTGCTGGGTTCTCCAGTTTTTTGAGCAGAAAAATCTAGGCGGACAGGAATACCTGAAATATTCTCTCTCCCCCTCCCTTCCTCCCTCTTTCTCTCCCTCTCCCTCTCTCCTGTCTCCCTCCCCCTTTCTCTTCTTTCTTCCCCTTTCCACTCCACCCCTCCCTCTCCCTCTCTCCCTCCCTCCTTTCTTCTCTCCCTCCTCCTTTCCCATTAGCTAGTTTACTTTCTGTAAAGAATGAGTGCCACCCTGATTACTTGCCAGGACCCACTGAAATCCCTCTGCGTATACCTTGAGCTATTTTCACCACGGCCCCATCCCTGCTAATGTCGTGCCCACTTTGGACGCTCGTATTCTTTAGGACACATCTAGCGCCTTGACTTTACCATTACCCCGCCTGTTGAGGAAAGGAAAGGAAGCAGAACCGAGACAAACCCCACCAGGCGCGTAGGCGCGGCTCTGCGTTCCAGTCCGTACACAACCACAAAGAGGAAGGGAAAACCCCAAGCATCTTTCCGCGAAAAGACAAATCTCTTTCCTCTTTCTCTCTCTGCGCGCGCGCTCTCCGTCTCTCTCACGCACATCCATACACCCCACAATTGGGGTTGAGGGTTGGGCAGCGCTGGGGGCGCCCGGCGCCGCCCGCGGGGACGCTCGCGGGGCCCCAGCCCGTC